GTTTTTCGCCTACTCCAGAAGACCCAACTTAGATAAGAGGATTCTTCCGGTAGCTTGACTATGGTAATTAATTTTTTTTTTTTTTTTTTTTTTTTATTTATTTTTTTTCGCATGGTCGTGTTTTTTGTGGTTACGCTACAATCCAGTTTCTCCTTGCTTGAGGATTGTGGGTTTTTTCCCAAATATAAACTATCAGAAAGATGTTGGAGTTGCGGTCCCTAATCGCTCTCCTTACGTCTAAAGGATATTAAAGTTAGAATAGTGGAAAGTAAAAGGTAGTTGATGACCTACTTATGTCTCTCGAAATGACAAAGGTCCCTAGTAGAGATGGTGGATAATGCTCAATGCCTTAATCTAGACTCCGGATCAGTATTACTTCTATTGCAAGACGAGTAATACTCCTTTAACCAGTTAAGTTAGATGCATACTGCCACTCTTTGGACATCTGCTGAACCAAAATGGCCAGACCCTACCGGGTTCCCACCGAAAACAATATCGTATGGGTTTCTTTTTTTTATCAATTTAGGTGGGCGCGCCTACGTTAGAGAAATGGTGAACCAATTTAGAATTTCATAGAAGCTTCTTGGACCGATTAATTGGAACCGGGCGTGTAGCCCAAATATTTTAGATTTTTGTAGAAACTTCTTTGAACCGTAAATTAGAATCGGACACCTTGTGAATCGATATGGAAAGGTATTCCAGAAACTTGGACTAACATACTATGCCCTACGTCAAAGGACGGAACGATTTGGACTGACGAGCGCATAAATTGATGGGCCCCACAGAAAATCGTGCGTCACTCACGTGTGTGCTGCGCTACGGGATACCCGTGGCCACGGCCGTGGGCAATCTGGCCATCGCGGTCGAAAAAGTCGGTCGCGGCCGTGGTCAGGAGGCCTAGTTTGTGACCCGGGGGGGGGGGGGGGGGGGGGGGGGGGGAATACGTAAAAGAAACAAAAAAAAGGTTTTTAGTACTTGTTACATCCCCAATATTTTCGTTGACTTTATTTATAAATTTAAGAAAATAAAAAAAATAAAAAATAGTTGGAAAAAAAAAGTAAGAATTTGTTTTTTATTACTTTCACGAGTGGTATGGAGTTAGAGCCTTCCTAAAAATTTTGCACAGGTAATTTTCTTTGTTCTTCTTCGTCTTCTTTTTTTTTTTCTTTGCTGTTTTTTATTTTTTTACCTTCTTTTTTTTCTTCATCGCTGTTTTTTTTTCCCTTCTTTCCTGGTTTTTTTTCTTATTATTTTTCTTCTTCTTTTTCTCCTCCTCCTTCTTCTTCTTCGGGCGCTTCAGCGGCGGTGCTCCTCGCAACAATTTAGCAAGGGTCCTCCACCAAAGTCGAGGCAGACAGTGAATACGAAGTGGAGCACGAGGTGGCTAAATATATATACTCAGGATTCGTATTCAAGTCTGTGTTTCAACAGTTATGGGTTACTAACTTAGCTAGGCTTTGTTGGTCTCTACACGTGATTCTCAGGACTTGGTTGCTGTACTCACCAAATGTGCGGAATTAAAATGAATATTTTGCTACTAGAACGTGGAATAATACGTCGCCATATGTTTTGTCTTTTGTGCATGTGGTGATTAAAGG